AGCACATTCCTAGGATCGTAATTGCGCAGGTTGCAGACTTCGTGACAAGCCTGAAGGCCATTCTTGCAACCTGACAGTCACGTCACCTCCGTGAAGTTTGGTTAGTTGTGTTCGGCACCTTCCCTAGATCAGGGCTCGAAGAGTGCCCTTTTGCAGGCCACGCTGCCAGCACCTAGCATTCGGCTCGGCGGAGTGGGCCTATAGACAGGCACCTGCATGTCCTTGAGACGAAATGCAGAATGCCAAGTGAAACATGAAACGAGGACTGCCTTGTCCACTCTTGCATCTGGCGATAGAGCCTCCCCCTCAGCGGAAAAACTGATCCATTCGCTGAGTGGTCTGTGCCTGCGAGAGCTGTTCGACTCGAGTCTCGCTTCAGTGCTCCGCAGTGCCTTCTGACTCTTCCCCAGCCCCTGAGTTCTGGCCTGGTTGGAGGCACCGAAGTTACTGGTTGTCCACTGGGTGGTGTCCTGACTGCTCGAACCATTGCAGCGATTGCCTGTTGAGTCCCGGCCTAGCACAGATTAGCACAGTAGCACAGAGGAAAGCTGGGTTGATGCCGTGTCCATACGTGGCCCCTGCGCAGGGTAGTGCCTTGAAAAATCACTATTCTCTCAGATGGAGAGGACACAGGCTCCATGTTTCAATGCATGGCCCGTACGCAGCGAGAGCTATAACCCTCCGGGTCCGACAGCGAGGCCAGGCTGCCTGCCCGGCGGAGACGCCCAGACCTCTTTAGCCGGTCGAATGCATCGCGATCTCGAGATCTCGAAAATTCAGGCCAATAGAACCACATGTTGACTGAACCGATCTGAAACCACTTCTCGAGCTGCGGCATGCCGGATGTGCTGTCGCGCAGGGGTTCACTCTTGGGCAACATCTCCACACGTTCGGGAAACTGTCGACTTAGCAGCACACTTTGCAGAGGCAAAGGACTCAGCGACATGGCAGAATCTGGTGACATGGCCCTGCAATGATCTGCAATGTTCACGATGGAGTCCGAAAGGCCTTCCAACGGTGCTCCGTGCAAGGCCGAACTGCACCAGACTTTGCTGCTTCTTCAGACGCTGGAGAGGGTAGACACAGAGAATGCCTCTGATGCGAGGCATCAGTCCAGCAGCTGCAGACACGAACCACATAAAAATCTTCCACACGCCTCCCTCTCTAACCGTTGACCTATGACCTATGCCGAGCTCGGCTTGGGGCAAATTCTCGCATGCCGCAAGGCTGCGATGTAAGGGCAATTTACTACTTCTGTCATCTCTCAATTCCGAGAGAACCGGAAACGCGATCAGGTGCGTCTCAGAACCCTTGGGCCGAGCGACATTTCCGCCCGTAGAGCGAAGCAGCTCCCCACGTTCCATCGAACCTTCCACATGCGATGTCATGTGCAACGCCGACAAAAAGGTACAGCGCAAGAAGCATTAACGGACTGACGGCCAAGGCCAAGCAACGTGTCGCCAGGCGGAACGACGGCTTTCTGCACTCCTGGAAACTCTGTGAGTTCCGTAGACTCGTAGACACCACATGCACTTGCACAGCATGTCCGCAACTCGCACTCGCGGTCCTAGGGTGTTGGTATGGAACAACTCGCCTGGGCTGCGGCCACGTCTAGACTGAGAAGTTGCATGTGTCGCGGAGGCGAGCTGCAGCCGGTCGCGCCAGGCCCGACGAAGACCACATCGCGGCCGCTGGTATTTCGCTGGGGAAGGCCGAGAATACACTTCTCCTGAGCTAAGATTCCATTTTGTACGCTCCACAGTCCCCTACATGGCATAGAGTTGCCAAGATGCAGCGTACTCGTCGAAAGTCGCTGGGCGTGAACAAGGGTACTTTTGTGAAGCAGCGATCCTCAGCTTCCGAATGCTTCCGGATGGCCCGTCCCATCAGCTACAGCACTTGGAGGATCATGGGACTTAGTAAGGTTATAACTACCCTAATTGATTGGGGTTATAACTATAGTTACCTGGTTACCTTATAACCCTAGTTACAAAAGGGCTCTGCACCAAAGACTCATCATCATGCGGTCCATCTCTCCGCCAGTGAATGCCCTGCCATCCATGTCGAATTCTGCCAGCCCGACGAACCTGCGAAGGAGGCTGGAAGGCTTCTCCACTGCGGCTAATCTTCGATTTCAAGATATTTTGAGAACACTGTGTACAATTCGCCCTATCTTGCAGATTCATCGTCGCTGAGACTGAAATGCCGAGGCACACCACTTGCCCGGGTCGCGCCGAAACTGGAGCTTCACGATTTGACAACTCCTCCGATTTGAGACTTCAACAACATCGACACGCGAGACATCCTGGAAAGCTCGGTTCGACTTTAAGCTCAGGCAGCCGTTCCGCCAAGGTGCCGGGTCTCCATGGTAGTTGTCAATCCGCTCGTGGGTCCCAGCACGGCCCTGAACACGGCCGCTCCGTCGAATGAAGATTATAAATTATAAATTATGTATAACCATCAGCGCACAATGGCCCCAGTCCGCAAGATGCCGCAAGAGCCGCTTCCACCAGTGTGTCACTATAAATGAACTTATTCTCGAGTGGCCACTGATGGTCTCACACAGACTCACAAAGCCAAGGCTCATGCGGCAATCCCCTTTCCGAGAAGTCTGACCACAACTCCGGCATCTTTTGATTTATACTTCCTTGGAAAGGCGGAAGAGGCCGATGCATGTGACCCGCCTCGAAGTTACATTCTACCTAGCTCCAGCTGCAAGATCCGACTATGGCGCTCGGGCACTAGGAATCGCAACACGTCGTGGTCTGCCTATGCACAGCTAATATTCCAATAATATCCATTCACCAAGTTGCGATGGAAAGGGCTGTGTCTTGCAACAGGAAAAGCATTGATGCCTGGTGAAAGGGTAGACAGAGTTGTTCGGAAATCCAACCACTACCTCGTTGCAGGCAGGACAAAATGACAGAAGAGGCTGCACAAGGCCCATAAGGCCCTTGTCGTGCCAACCCATTTTTTTAACCTGGCCAAGCCTGGCGCAAACCCCATCTCTCGTCCACGACCACTCCGACAGGAAGATGGACGAAATTGATTGCTCAATTTCCCACGGCTTCGTGCAAAAGTGAGTCGACACCGAACACGAAGAAAGGATATGACCAAAACTGCCAGGCGTGTAGTGTTTTACTGCACTGCAGCCACTACACTACCACAAGGCACAAGTCTTCCCCTTCAGGATGAAAACCGAAAGAAATCAGAGCTGAGCGGATCGAAATGGGTGCCGCCCCCAGCTGAGTTGAGGTCCCGCTTGGCTTGACTACACGAGGCTTGATCCGTTCATGTGATCAACCAAATCCGATGTGCTTGTGGTGTTGCCTTCTTCGATCTTCTTCGTGCCTGTGCTCTATGCGTCGCTCTTGAATGAGGCAAGGGTTGTTCTTCCTTTGTTTGATTCACTCTCCGAGCACAGGTGCCTGTAGACACACCCGTTGGTGGCGGGTTTTCTATCTCGTGGTAGAGCATGACGCCAATGCAGAGAGCATAACATTCAACAGCAACAACGAGGGGAAGACCATCCTGATTCTACATTTCAAAAGGATTCCAAGATCATGCGCATGTTCCCCGGCCCCCATATTAATTAAGACCTAGCTCTGCAGCAGGTTGGCGAGACTTCCATAACAGTACAACAGCGTGAGCTCGGGGGGGGGGGGGCCTCCACACAAAGTGAGTTCGAAACTCTTCCCTCTGCTGACTAGACAACAAAAGGTCGTTGGCCGGGAGGGACAAGCCCCGGCAACAACACGGCTCTGAACATGGACAGCAAGACACTATCAGATGTCCCCCAGGGCTCGGAGTTCGTTCAGGGCATGAGGGTACTCTGGGCCTGTTGCTTGAATCAACCGCACAGTCAACATGCTAGGTGTGGTGACTACAAGTGCAACACCAACATACTAAGCATCACATAACACAAAAAATGTACGACTCCGGTGGGAAACAGGCTTCAGCGGTCACTCAAGGCAAGTCTGCCGGCATCGAGATCATCAAACCGTGCTGGAAGACTGCTGAGCCAAGGTGCCGACCCGGTGCTAACAGGAACACAAGACTCCCCCCGCCCCTGTGCTTGCCTCTGCAGTTCTCAGGTGTCTCACAGTTCACATCCCCCGTTCATGGAGGTGCGTCGCTGGAAGTCGGCGGCGTCGGTTGCTTGCGTTTGAGCTGGGGCTGCTCGCTTGCTTGCTTGGGGTCTGGGGGAGAACCTGGCTCTCTCTCTTCTCGCTCTCTCTTTCTTTCTTTCGCCAGGGCTATGGACCGGAGGATTGCTTCCCCTGCCTCGCTCCCTTCTTCTGCACACCCAAAGGAAGGCAAGCCCTCCCCGCGCGCGCACGCGCACTGGTCGTCCAGGTCTGTCAGTAACCCTGCTACGAGATGAGGCCGCGGATGTGATCCTCCCTCTCTCTCTCTCCCCTGGGCATGAGGGTCTCTCTCTCTATCTCTCTCTCTCTCTCTCTCCCTCTCTTTCTCTCGCTCAATGTAGGACAACGGCGTCGGGCCTGAAGGCAATGTCTGGAGCCCGCTGTTGAGGCGCCTCTCCTGGAGAGGGCGCTTAGAGAGCCATCTTAAACTCTTTCCCGTCTGAAGATCTTTCTGTCGACTGTGTTTGCCGTCCTCTGTTGCAGGCCCATGGCCTACCCGCGGCATGTTGCCGCCCGACCTGCGCACTGCCGGCTATGCTCTTCGCAGGACTGAAGTCCCACCGGCCTCAGCGCCCCGTTTCACCGAGGGCCCCGGCTAGAAACTCTTGACGCCGACAGTTTGAAATCACTGCGGCAGAATTGGCAAGGAGAGCTGCGTTCACACTGCGGCGACGTCCACGCGGCAAGGACATTCAAGTAGGTCTGCACGCTTGTTTTCAAATAACCAATGCATGGCACCCCTTTGGCACCACGAGTTAAGGACTCTGGACTTGTTCGTTAACAGTCCGAGCTCCACACAAAAGTCGAAACTCACACCGAGTTTTATCTCCGTGAACACAGCGCGCTGCCGATTCACTTCGCCGGCAAGGACAGGAGGTTCGAACCTCGCTGCCAGATGCTGCTTAGATTTGGTTTGGAGATTGCACGCAAAGGCGAGATGCTGGAGGCAAAGACCGCGGAGGCCCGAAGCGGCCGAATTTGCAAGCGCTTGCCTTATGCCCAGCTTGTCAGAAGATCGGTTTGACTGACGCGGGAGGCATAGTGAGTGCATGCCATGCATGGCTTTCATCAAATGGAAGTTATGAAACAAGTGGATTTGCAACAACGCCAGTTGGCGAAGAGCTCTGTGTGCTGATATGTGACCCTCGGCCGCCAACTACCGGTAGTTGTGTAACTTCCTTCCCTGCCCACCCCAGCTGTAGGTGGCCTGAAGTCTGGAAAGCCGCAAGCTGCTAATTTCAGTTATGGGTCCATCTTCATGTTCATCAAGCTCCTGGAGTGGACAGACACGCGCTTGGCGGCCAAACAAGTGTTGTACTTGAGCGCAACTCTCCTCTTCGTCCACTGCGAGTTGTTGTGGGATGGATGTCACACGAGGAATGCTTCGGACCTGCCGCTGCCGAGTTCACACAACTTGTTTTTTGGCGAGCCCGGATGGCCTGTGGAGAGAGCATGGCAGACAGCGCCGGTGAGGAGCCCAACGACTCATCGACCGCCTGCGGGCTAAGTTTGCAGACGTGCAGTCACACAAGTTAAGCTGAAGCGAAAGAAAATGGCTGTTTGCCTTTTGCAAGCTGAAAACAAGAAGCTACAGCCGATCTTCGGCCTGAAGGTTCTCCTGGTTCTGCTGCAAGAGAAACTGCACACATTCCTGCGAAGCAGCTCAAAGCAGGACCCAGGCTGCTCGGCATATGGCAGGTCTGGCAATCGTCCTCCACCGTCCAAGGCGTTGTGAGGCAACCCTCCGGCATGTAATCGCCTGAAGACCGCGCCCCTACTACACCGAACAGACAAACATCCTGAGAGATCTGCAGCGAAACATAGATATGATATGCATAGGTGCACATGCACAGACAGGCAGGGTGCTCGCGCCCTGCCTAGAACATGCAGCAGTATCTGCCGCGGCCTTAGAAGAACCATCGGCTTGCGCACCGTGCTTTGAAAGCAGCCTTGGGCCTGCCCATCCGTCATAACCGGTCCTGCTCTCAGGAATCGGCTGGCCAGAGGCGTGAGCGATCAAGAACGCTATCTTCCGCTTGCGATATGCCTCAAGCCTTTGCTGCCAGTGGCCGCAGCGTGCGTACTTTGCAGAAAAGCAAGCACTGCAAGCTGCAAGCTGGGGAACATCATCCCTAGCGCTTCAACTGCAGAGGTGTCCATGAAAGGCACGGATGCCGCCGAAAGTATGATGGATTTCAGCGGCCTTCCCTCCTGAGTGGATACAGTGTGCAATGAATCCTCAGCATTCCTCCCGCCGAGCCACAGCACTGGCAGAAATCTCCATTTCGTCGAGCCACTCCTCGCATGCACGTACCCCAAGAAGCTGTGCTCTTCCAGATGCCATGAAACGAGGTCCTCCAAGCGTTCCACGTTAGCATAGAAAAGCGGGCCCTCCGGACGGAATGAAAGAATCCCCAGCCGTTGTGTAGTGTCTTTCCTCTCCTGACGGCTCCCGGACACATCCGACGAGATACAAGAGCAAGCGCAGGTCATAGCGTGCGGACTGCTACCAATCTTCAGCGTGCGCCCTATTTCACGGCTTGGAAACGAGAGGCCACCCACAGCATGAAGCGAAGTAGGTAGATTCCGGATAGATAAATCACATACATAGTTTACATAGTCCAAACACACATAGCTGAATGTCCTTGTGTGTTATACTAGTCGACGATGTTCTGTGGAAAAAGAAGCACGGATGGACGACATGAGCCAGAACTTACATGACATGAGCTTACATCGACATGTCTGCGGAAGATACCGTCCTTGACATTTAACCACCGCCCGCGCTCTTCGCAGTAGCCCAAAGTTGTGATGGGTGGGTCGGCCACTTGGTACACAATCAACACCAAAGACACGACCACCGCACCGAGGATACCTCGCAACGCAACTTCAATGGCACTTGAAAGCACCACAGCCTGCGAAGAACTTCTACTTTTTGATCCGGCCTTTTAAGGCTCCGAGGTAGAGCGTGAAGAGAAAGGCCACCCACCAAACCTGATTCCGTGCAGTTAAAACCGCTTCTCTAACATGTGGAGCAGGCCATCGTGCAGGCCGCGTGACAGCATAGTCCACGACATATGTTCGCTGGCGCGTGCGTGTTGACCGCAAAGACCACAGCCATGCGGCATGATTGAACTCCTTGCCATAAGAAGCGCCCGTGCTGCGGCGCAGAGGGATTATGCTTGCGGCCATGCAGAGCTTACGTCCTTGTTGTGCTTATTGGTCATTCCCGGCTTCTGTTACCATGCCAATGTCGCAACTAAACATCAAGAGCCGAGCACTTGGTAGCATCTCTGATCGCAAGTCGGGGCTTCTCACGAACGACTTCTGACCAGTCAGGCAACCGTGAGCGAGGACGCCCCCAAGATGATAATGATGTTCAGAGCACACCTGGACATGTGGTATGATCACATATTATACAAGAACTACTTGGCAGAGCGGAAGGTGTCTCTTTGCACTGGCCTCGGCACATAGTAGATGTATGGACTCAGAAGTAGAAGGATCACTGCAATCACACAGGCCACGAATATGTTCGCACCTGTGCACGGTCAGGTAATGCTGCGATGTGATTCTGTAAGTAATTAGACCCGAAGCTACCGTCCAGACAGGAATGCCCAGGACGCAAGAATGCGTGTGCGTTTCCGTGGCCCTGCATGCTTCGGGGATATTATGGGTGGTAGGGATTCAGGGGTTCATGTACAGACAACCACAGCATGCCGTCGATATGCGTGAATGTGTTTGTGCAGGAAGAGGCCTAACTGGCTCCTCACCCCAATGGCACTGGCAATTCCTTGCGTGTGCACATTCGAAGTTGCAAGAGTTCTTCGCAGCTCCGGGATGCACTCGGTCTGGTAATCACAAGTACCGCTAGTGCCTGGATGTGCCTGGCACCTCTACAAGCTAACCTTGGTGCGCCCGCTCAAACGCTGTCAGAGATAGGTCTGGCCAGGGTCCCATCCGGCTGAGGCCGATTTGAGTTGGGACCGCCCCGCACATGGCACCACCCACATTCCTCGGCGTTGCCATCGCACTCTTTCAGCTGGCTCAGGCCAGCACAGGAACACGTGAAAGCCCCCTGCTCATTGCGCCCGGCCAAGAGTTCAGGGAGCCTCAAACTCCAAGCTTCGCTGCTCCGAGCGCGAGGAGCTCATTGACAGCCACCACTTGGTAACCTGCCTGGTCGTGCAGTCTGCTATGTCAGCTCTGCACGGTCAACCACACATTCTCGCAGTTCTGTACAGAAAACAGTGTGTGTGTGTGTGTGCAAAACCAATTCCGCCATCGCGACTTTGGCAGCACTGTCAGGATCAGCCTTAAAATGTTACTCATCGCTACTGCGAGCATTTGCGCGGCAGTGGCATCGCACCACACCCGCCTTCATCGCAAACTTCCTCGCAGCTGCAAAAGACGAAAGGAAGTTCACCAGGGCAAGCCTTAGAAGAGCGTATCAGAAGAGAGACGTTTAACTTTGTGTTTGTGTCGTTGAAACTTTCGGCTAGTACTGCTCCACGTACGTTCAGCTACCTGTATCTGTACATCTTTCGTTCCCGACGTCATCTAATACAAGGAATACAAACAAACCCGACATCGATGATTGTGTTCATTTTGCTCTGACCCTTGCCCTAACAGTCATTATGATGCGCAGTCCGATTGTCCATGGCATGTACCTGCATGGGTAAACACCCGGCCGTGAGGCCGTGGAATCTCAAGATTCCCGGCACAATGAAGTAGGAGTGGGAGGAGGAGTTGTCGTTGTCGTAGGGTAGTTAGTGGTAATGGTGTTTTGCTCTTGCATGGCTGAACGAGTCACGAAGCGGGTTACAGAAAGATCCTCGTGAACTCATCTAACCTTGATGGTGCAGATCACACTGCCGCTTATTTCGAGCAGGTCATGTTTATTTAGTGGGTTCTTGCTGAACCAAACTGACATGTCCTTGTGGCAAAATGCCATTCACTCCTTTAGACCACGAAGCATTCAGATTTAATTACCAATTGCAAGCTCTCAGCTGTCCAGGTGCCGGTGGTGATGTCGCTGTGACAATGCTGACAATGATACTATCGGCACTAGGCTAGCGGCTAGTAGACCTGGTCTCTCAAATTTTACTTTCTGCAGGCCTGGCTGGCAGAAAAACACTGCTTGTATTTCCGTGGCACATCAAGCCAAGAAGCATCACGGCCCCGGGAAAAAGCTCCTTCGCAATCTGCCAATCGTCACCTTTGCTCGAGAGCACTCATCAAAGTCTTCACCTATCAATTCCATAGGGGGTGGCCCGTGTAATTTGGTGAAATGTAAGCTTGTGCGCTGACATGCTTTGCTAAGTCTGCTAAGTCTTGGATTGCTACGAGTACTGTGTCTTTCATGTTTGCTCCTTTGCTTCGGGCTTGTTGCTGGTGTTGCTATGTCAACCATCTACTTGCACTGTCATTCGAAGGGATGTGGCAGCTACGAAGCTTTGAATCTGGCAGGAATCAATCCCAAATTGACATACAAGTTCCAGAAGCCTGTGAAGCTTTGCTTAGGCTTGTGGCTTGTCTGTAGCGGCCACGCCAGCGCGGGGAACCCCTCGGGAACATGGCCAATGACAGCGATGCCGAAGGGCTCTGCAATCCTTGGTTCGCGTAACAAATAGGAAGTGCACTGGCTCTGGCCACTTCAGGGATTCGGGCAAAAATATGCGAGTGCAACCTCTAACTATCTCGCCGATGACTGGTGGCCTATGTCGGGCATTGCCATTTTGTCGCAAAGGACTCGACTGCTGCCCTTACTGCCCAGCTCGACCCGCAACACAGAAATCAGTGATTCCGACCAACATCTGCGCGGCCTGCTTGCGATAAGTGCCGACATCACGAGCAAGACGACCTTCAGAAGTCTCTGCTCCATTTGGCTCTCTCTTTGAACATCCCAACTTATGCCAAAAACACGCAGCTCCAACATCGAGCCTCCTTAAATTCCGCGACCACCTTCAGCCACGAGCCCATGGACTTCAGCCTCTTCGCAAAATGTAGAAAGAGCCAAATACCTAGGTGGTGCACAAAGACCGGGAGAGGCCCCGGCATGTCTCAACTTGCATCACCATCTTCGGCAGTGCGCAGCCCCTTTCCCTCAATCAGAACAGCTTTCTCGCTCGATGCTCTCTCTTGCCGTGGGCGTCTGAGTCGGCGTGCATGACCCGCCCGTTTGCAGGACGCCTGCAGGACAAGCTCCGCTTATGGGAGGGCCCCAGCCACGCGAGGATTCATGACGACTGGTCGATCAAAATCAAGACCATGCAGGGACTTTAACTTGCCAACCCACCCGCAGCTACGCACAAGCACTTGGCAGCGCAGGCTCAACTTGAAGTGAAATGCAAAAGTCCCAGTCACAAGCCGCGGCTAAGACCTTGACAACCAAGACAGGTAAGTCCACACCTGGTGACGTCTGCGACAAACCAGGGTTAAGTCCACTGAAAATGCTTGCAAACTGGGCACTCCTTGCCATGATCACGCATACTGTGGTAACAGGAGAGACATAACAGATGTGGCAACAAGGCTCAACCGCAACTGTTGCCCGCTCCCTGCAACAGATCTTGCCATGTCTTGGAACTGGCCTCCTCTTCTCATCTCACTCTTGTGATCTCTCTCCTACACCTTGCTCTGGGACTGCTTCGCATTTGTGTCTGCATGTCGAGCCTCTCTTTGATGCCCACAAACAACGGTGTTATTTCCACGTCCGGAGAACAACATGGAGCCGGCCTGTACCCTGATGTATCCTGACTATGTCCCGGCAGACCAGCTTCTGATCCTTCTGCCTTTCGCCAGCCTGCTGCCTGCTTTCCACGAGGTCCTGGAGTCCAAGCCATTCTTGTCTGAACAGGCTCCCTCCGACCACGCTGCGGGTGCTTTGGCAGCCCCTGGCGTACTTCTCCCATTCTGCTTCTCCGGCACATGCAGCAGCGATTCTCCGGAAATCGCTCCGACAGACAACGGTGTACTCTGTCTGAAAGATTGGAGGAGATGGCTAGAGCCTGGACAAGTTGTTTTCCTCCATACTGGTCCCCTGGAGCAAGGTTAGTGCAAACCATTCTGCAGAACGTCCCTTCTCACTCCTTGGATACTGTTGCCGTTAGCGATACGTTAACACACAGGCTGTCTGAGGTGGTCAAGAAGGTCCTCCAGTTGCAGTTTACTCATCCTTGGAAACCTCCTCAAATAGTCCTCTGCACACCCAACCAGATATCATGCAAAAGCTTGTGTAGTTTTCATTGTGCGTCTGCCTGACGCCTGCTCGGGAGGTGTCAGCAGAGCGACGGTTATTCCACGCTCTCGTCATCATGGCACTCGTCGAGCTTTCAAAGCAAAGACCGAGATCAAACAAGCAATTGTCTCGCCCAGTTGACAGGTTGAAAGCAGACTGGGCGGTTCAAGAAATGACTGAAGCTTGATCACAAACAGATTTAAGACCGGTGATTGAGCGCATGCAGTTCCAAGAAACGGATGGCATCGAGCCGGATGATCGAGTCACGCTGCTGCTATCACTACCTGTTTGTGCAGAGGATTCTAACCTCGGCATAGTTGAACAACAGGTTTCATCAAAGGGGCAGATGCTGAACACAATAGTTGCAGGGTTCACATCATCCATCTCCTTTGGGTGCGTCAAGATGATGTCGAAGATTCCTCCCACATCTGTCTTCCTGGCTGGTGGAGAAGTTAACAACAACCGGCAGCTACTGGAGGCTAAATTTCGGGGAAAAGTAGTACGACAAGCCGTAGACGGTCGCAAAAACAACCAAGATTGCGGCCCAAGGAGCGGCAAGCCGATCGCCGGCTTGATTTGGGAAAGGATGATGAGTATGGCACTGGCGGTGATGAAGCCACTTAGAGCCTTCGACCGGTTGCGCGAACCCCACAAGTCTCGGCAGTGCTGTTGGGACAGCTTAAGCTTACGAGTTGCTTGTTGTTGCCCCCTGTGTGACCGAGCAGTTCGGGTTGTTGTGGAAGGCGTCGCTGACAGCTTTGGCTCTGACTCTGTGCATCCGCGCCGAGGCGCAGGTTTGGAAAGAAATCGCACCAGGAAAGCCAGCTGAAAAACACCCATAGAGCCTCCGGCAGACGCACTTCTATCAGCAACCACGAGACAGCGACATGGATTGAACTGCTCTGAGCGGGCGCTTGCACAACTATCACGCTCAAGCTCTCAAACCAGTGGCAGGACCCACGAAGCAAAAACGAGCAAAGAACTTGACTTTAGCACTTGCGCTGTCTGGGTGGAGTCCCGTCTCGGCTCACGTCGTGCCTATGACAAGCCCAACTTCCAGAGTGAAAATGGCACCTCAGCCAGGAGGTGTGAGGTTGTTTCAAGATCGGCAATTTATCTTTGAAGAAACGAGTAGAAACATTTCCAGTTGTTTTGGTGCTGGAAGCATTGAGGCTGAGGCTGAGCCTCACCATGAGCCATGTTGTCGTTCATAATTTCTCCCCTACCAAAGCGTGAAGCTAGGGCTTCACACTCCCTGAACTCATTTTCCTCCTCGGCACTAGCATGCGTCCGCCTCTCTTCACCTCCTGCAGAGCACATGCCAAAACAGCCAGCGGCTGAGAACATGCCAGCACTGTGAGCAGCTTAACGGCCGCGAACGAAGGCAGTTTAGCAGGAGCGTAACCTGCATTTTAAACAACACTGCGTCAAGCGTGTTAGGACACGGTTTAGAGTCACACACTCTCACTGCGACTTCCCGTCTCCTGACACTTGGCCAAGCTGCTCGCCTGTAAGCAATGCTACCTTGGCACTGGCTTCGTCAGAATCTGGCGAGGGATGCAGCCTTCGAGCATGGCAGCCTCTTGCAGGCTGAGGCGCCAGGCCGCCTGTTCCCACAGAGGCCTTCGAAAGCGAAGAGCAGAGGCTGATCGGTTCTGACACAGAGTCTGCGAGAATTCGCGCCTGAACACATGTGCCGAAGAGTGAATAGAGCACGGGAGGCAAGAGGCAGCTGTATGGTCCGGTGATCAAGCTCACCTGCAGGTGACTGGACACTCCGTGCAAAGCCGTTTAAGACGAAGAATCACTCGCCATTCGTTATGACAGGATGTATGACGGGGGGGTAACGGCCTTAGACAGGGCGGCATGAGCCAGCGACTGGGCGAACAGCACGCACCCCAGCGTGACGCCGGATGCCACATCCTGCAATTATTATCAAGTGGTGCGTGTCTTGCATGCACCTACTTCTGGGCCTGTGTAGTGCACAAATGTCTGGAACTCTACGAGATATTGCTTCAAGCCGTGGTCCTTGACCAAGTTCTCCTTCCATCTGTAGGATGGCAGCCATTCCTGAAAGCCCAAGAGGGCTGCGGACAAAGGGCATGCAAGGGTCACCGTTCTTTGCGCTGTCTCATGCCCCGGTGATTTGCGCCGTATCAATCAACATGGAAGCAAATACCAGCAAAGAACACAACACTTCATGTCTCGAGCAAGGTGCGATGATGGGAAGCAGCCTCGGAGTAGCAGCAGTAGTCCCGATCAACAAACGGGCGGCAGACTCCCTTCAAAACAGACCAAAAGACAAAGTGCCACAGGATGCCACAGATGCCACAGGTGCCGAAAGATCCTGAGCCTCAACTCCCGTGCTGCAAGCCAAGCAACTTTCGCATCACCTCCTGCGAGTTCGTGCAAGTTCTTCGTTGCAAAAGTTCGAACTTACAAAAGCAAATGCTTTTGCATAACTTCGCTCAAGTCGGTTCCCAATCCCGAGAATGTGTTGGTTCATCTGGCATACCAATCCACCTTTCAGCAGAACCCCCATGGCCAAACGTCTTTAGACTTTAGATGTCTCCAGCAGGGATCCTTGCATGTTGCTCTTCGAGGTGAGGCGTCAGAGGGCAGCTGCAGGTAGCGCTCCTCCGCCGCCATGGGGCACTGCGCGCTGCTGTGCTGCTGAGGCTTTCTAACATTCGAAAGAAAGGGCTCTGTGTTGGCTGCGCTGCTCTTGAGATGGTATGACGGTTCATCCCAGACATTGGATGCAATGAAGAAGCTCGAGTGGGATCTAGCATCGGATTGGTTTTTGTGGGCTTGATCTCAGCAACATATCATTCACAGAAGCTCCACCGGCGAGAATCAGACCACACTGGGTGGCTCCCGTTTACCGGCTACAGTATGCGGCTCGCAAGGGTGCTGTACACTGTACAGCCTGTACACACCGTGGGCAACTAGAGGCAAAGCTTGTGGGGTTCCAACAGGAACCACAACACAAAGCGGCATAGTTGTTTCGGGGCGACTTGCAGTCTCAAATCCCCAGTCCCAATCCGCACCTCTGGGTTTGCTTAGCCCTGGATGTGGCGTTCCGGCGGCCGAAAGACTGCAGCACCTTCAGCGCCAAACACAAGAGAAGTGCTGTGCCGGCTTAAATCTGCTGCGCAGGACCTGCAGCTGCAGGGCTTTGTCCGCAAGCAGGGTGCCACGGCTGCCGGCGGCGTACATCCGCAGCAGGGAGGACCTCCAACAGTACCGGAATCGATGCGGGCACGGGCATCCTCACGCATACAAGCTTGGAGGGTCATGGAGGGTCCTCCAATGCGACCTCATTCATCGTTGCTGCGACGCTCCCTGCGTGATCGTCTTGCATTGGTGTTCAGATCATTCTGTTGCAGAGTCGCGGCTCTCTTTCTCATTTGCGCTTAGCTTCTCAGTTAACATATTTTGTACAATGCAGAAGACAGGAGCACAGGCGTCTAAGCTCGTAGGCGATGCGGGGCATATAAGATACTTGCGGTACAAGTAGAGGGCTTGGCATGTATTGCGATGCTTTGAGCATCAGCTGCCTACGGGTCGAGCCGACCTCAACTTCCAGGTACTGCATCAGCTTGTGAAGCTCATCGTCGGTTGCAGCAGTAGCCTCCGAAGCATCGAACGTGGGCCTCGAAGTCAGCTGACCGGGCATGTTACGTCTGGCATCTCTGGCGCTACCCACGCATACTCATGTCACTTCTCGTCTAGGCCTCGGGCACAATGACAGCATTGCCCCGGTTGTAGAAGCAGTTGCCGGCGGTGTCCTGCTGTCCATGAGTGGGAGATAGCAACTGGGACTGTTGGAACGTGGCTTGGAGAACGTCTGCAGTTGGTGGCTGTCAACACCCTGAATGCGTCGGTGCAACCCCTAATCTGTTGAAGTGTCCTGCTTTGCCCACACAGCAGGGCTGAAGTGTCATCAAGACGAGGCCACGCTGATGGAGCACTTCTGGATAAGACTGAACCCAATTGAAGCCAAATTTGACCTACAAACTAGCTGAGGAGTTCAGCAAAAGTAAGCACGAGGCATTACAGTGGAAGTGTTGGCAAGGAGGGTTTTCTCCCGAAATCGCAGAAAACCAATCGAATTCCGATCCCATGGGCAACGACGGTGTTTGGCGACAGCCGATGCTGAATCGGCTAGCTGATCATTAAATTCTCTCTACGTTCGTTCATGATAGTCCGCACGCAAGTCGTCTGCACATGGCTCCTCCACAATCACGGTGGTTTCCCGGCAGAAGCCACACCGGCGCCTCTTGTGAGCTTGACCACCACCTACTACGCTCGCACCACAAAGCGACATCGAAATGAAATCCAGTGTCATGTCACACACACACACACACATACCTCGAAAGCAATGTGTGCCGGTCAGCTGTGTTAAATGCGCGTGGACACCCTGAAACACCCTGAAGCACTAGCCGGCGCCCCCAAGCCTTGTTCCTGACTTCCACACTTTGCGAAGTCGCTTGCAGGTCCTGACGAGAACCCGAGTTCTCAGAGAGAAAACACCGCGACATCCTTGCTTGTATCGGGTTGCGGCTGGGAGCAAAGGCGGAACAGAAAGCGATGCAAACGAAGTACGGAGGGAGTTCGGTGCCGTCACGGTCGCGCTGATGCTCGCTGCAGCGTCGCTGGGACCTGCGCTGCTTGACATGTCAACGCAGACTCTCGGCACTGCATGTGCTGGCCCAGCAGCCAGCAGAAGCACCAGTTTCGATGCCGAGAAAGCACCTGGCACGCAGTCCAGCAGTAGAACGAGCAAGCGCCGGCCATCACAGTCTCGTGTATCTTGCACGGGGACTTGCTGGACAGGCTGGCCTCTGCAACGACCATATCGCACCAGCTGGCATCAGATGCTGTCCAAACTGCCACCCCGGCAAAGCCTCTGCAACGGCTTGTCTGCATTTCCAGAAATTATCTTGGAACCCCAATAGCAAGCATTTCGGGCACGGAATGCAGGTGCCAAGTTACGCTCGAAGCAGAAGTCTAAGAACTTCTGCAAGTTTGGGCGTGCAAAGACAGCGACGTGCTCCTGGGGTTGTGAAGCGCATCTTGACATTTGTCGTGGTGTGTAAAGCCCTTCTCATCCTACTTGACAGTCCGCTTGGTGAGTCGCTTTGGGACAAGCATGGCATGATAACGACAAGGACAAACACATCGCGGACGACTCCTCGTGCACATGGGTTGGCTCTGAAAAAGCCACGAACGAGCCCCAGGGTCGACACACATTCAACGAGTCGATAAGGGTCCCGTCGATGTCCAGAACAATACCTGCCATGCTGATGACTGGATCCGCATTCTAGAGCAGCTGCGGCGCCACGGAAACAGGTCGTACAACCACGTGGTGGGAGAAGCAGTTCACTTGGCCATGCTACTGGTGCAGGCGGCACTGGAAACGACATGTTGCCATGCATTGCAAGGACTCGATACAGTAGCCACTTTCTTCTGCTCGTGGTGAGTCTTTCAAGGCAGAACCTTGCCACACACACTCCAGAACAGCATTTCTAAAGACATAGTGAAAGTTCTGATTTGGAGCCATGCGCATCACGCATGGCCTTTGGGCGATCCAGAGGCTCTCGACACTGCCGGGCAAAGTCTTTGGCCACATCCCAGCACCTAGACTCAGACTTTTCCAGGTGTTGCAAAATGCTTTGTAAGGTGATGGCACGTGCACGTGTGCTTTTCGCAACAAGTTGCCGAAAGCGCTCCCTCCACCTGTTCTGGCTGTAGACCAACATGAACATCTGTTCGAATCATGTGCAGCCGGAGGTGGGGAGGACAGCTACCAGCCAAATCCATGTCGTCCAGCCTGGCTCAGACAACAGTTCAGAACTCCAAACCTCAAGAAGACCAGGATGTGTCTCACATCTCTGTTGCATGCCAGGCTGCGCCACCCACTGCTGCACGCCAAGCCTCTATAGTTGACAGTGAGAGAAGATTTTTCGCAACTGCTTCGGCACCACAACTGCGCAACTATTGCGGGGAAAGGGCTGGACTCGATGCCAAGCCAGCCAGTGGAGAATCTCTGCGACTCTTCTACCTGCAGCTGTTCGTGCCGATGCCTTCATCTCGGGAGTCTGACCTCGTGTGGACAGGGCTGCATGTAGGTCACAGCAGCTTATGCATCTCAGTAGCCAATGAAGCGCCACGATGCAATGCCAGCGTCTGCACACGCTCCCTTCAGCGCCTCGACTTCGCAGGGTCAGCGCATCACTCGAGTCATACTCTCACCAGGCACTTCATAGCTCAACTTGAAAAGACTCCTTGACAGCAGCATCTTCCCGCCGCCAGCTTGAAGAGATCACAACGTGTGCCTGCAGGCTTTGTGGGTCAGACCGCTCAGGAGCCTGATGCAAGCCTCTAGCTACTCTAGCTCAGAGGAAGCAATGGAACGCATTTGTCTCTGCGCGTTGCATCGCCTGGCCTGGCCTGGCCGCAGTGCAAAAGATCCCGTAGTCTCAGGATCAGGTTCCTTGGAGCCACTTGAGGCTTCGCACTCGTCGATCTTTTGCTCGTTGGGCATGGCTTTAGATACGAAGTCGTGGCGAGACACTCGGATCAACAAGGGCGACCAAGCAGCCTCTCAAGCCATAAGCCACCAGTCAGAACTGGGATGTAGTCGGACCCTGCAGCTCGAGCTGCCGCTCCACAACATGCTTGAGCATTCTCTTGCCATCTCCACGCTTCTCTGAAATCTTTCGACTTGTCATGTCAGGCCACACAGAAGTGTAAGAATGGTTTCAGGTTCCGGGGCGGTTCAATCTCTTCAAACTCCGATCGGATCATCCTCTCATTGAGCCAAGAACCTGCAGCCGCTTCGGCCGCCGAGTTCAAGACGCCATCCACATCCAGAAACACGACCCGAGTGAATGGCCGAGGTCCCATCAATTGAGCCCTTCCGGCGCTTTCGATGGGCAGCCTACGCGACCCCACCCGAGCCAGGCAAGATATGCACCGACAATGATTCAACCCCGGCAGCACGACCACCCCCAAGTGTCGCCGTGCCAGTCGCTGTCGCCTTTTGAAATCGATTTCAAAGTCATAGCCAAGCCGAGCTCCGAATTCTCACCTCTAAATTGCAGGACCGGTGCAGCGATGCACGGCGCCGAGCCGCAAGTCCACCAGCACTTCATGAACCGCAGATGCGCTAACACATCAGTCAACAATAGTTTGGCCCCGAGCTTGGGTGATTCTTTGCGGCGCTACAGAGTTGCACCGTGTCCTGGTGACATGGAATGGAGATTCGGCATTACTGCGTCCACCTGGAAAGCAGCCAGCTAAGGCCAAAGGCGAGGCGAGAAAGACAGACAGAACAGAATCAGCCATGCTATCTAGACGGCAGGCCCACAAGCTTGTGTGAGGACCCGGTCGTCACTTGCGTCACTGACACGCTTGCAAGGACCACCCCGCCAGGCTGTCGCAGCCCAGCTGCAGCTCCTGCTCATGGATCTCCGGTAGCCTCGGCAAAGCCAAAGCTGTGCCCGTGCTGTCCGAGCAACGAACGAACCGAGCAGTCCGAGCAGCGTGAGGCGCTGAGAGATGGTAATTGGCACCTTTGCAGTAGCCGATCTTTCGTGGAGGCATGTCAGTCTGGTGATCGCGCCGACTTGCATTTTCCTCCAAGCTGCACAACCTGCTTCGGCGATGGCTTTGTAAAGCTGAACTTCGGTGTCCTGATTACAGTGGTCCCTCGCTGGCTCACCCGGCCCCGGCAACATGTTTCGAGCAACTATCACATCACCGACAGTCTACAACAAGGATCTGGCTGCGGATTCAAGCGCCGTCCGTGGCAGCCAACTCTGAAACCAGGATGCTGTTGCTTGCATGTTGAACCCGATGCCACGCAGCACAGATGAAGGAGCTGACAACATACAAGGCTAGAGGAACATGCTGCGCGGTAGGAAGCTGGAAAGGACTGGTGCTCTCGGATGCGACACAACTGGAAGCATGTCAGACCTGTCCTGGGAAACCATGGAGGTGCACTCATCAAGGATGGCAAGCCGCGGGCAGTGGAAAAGGCAGCGAGCGATGCCTGGTGGCTCTGCAGTGACTGGCAGAGCTCAGACAAGCTGATCTCAGATTTCAGCCCACCTATTCGCTGTTGCTCACCACCGGACAAGATCTCGTCCCATTGCAACCCTGGTGTAGTAAAAAGGCCCCCATGACGATCAACTAGGTATCCAATACCTCGGCCGTCGATGCGAAGGGTGAAACACTCAAACACCCTCCCCAGGCTCTACAAGTAACCGACCTTTGAAAGTTGCGAAGGCTAAGAGCAGCACCTACTACGTCCAAAGCTTGCTGCAACTTCTTCGGATCCTGCTCCGAACCACTGAGGGGGTAGGATACTTGATCACCGAGCCCTCCAGGAGCCAAATACGGTTTCTGGGGAATCAGCAGCAGGTCGTGGAGAAACGGCCGAGTGCGGAAGACGGAAGAGCCGCAAAAGGTCACGGAGGCATTCACCGTACTTGGAGCACGAAGTCCTGCAAGGTGGCCTGCAAGCAAAGACTTTCCTGAAGCATTGGGCCCGGTAATGACCACGGGATTGCCAGGCTTCACTTCAAATCCCACACGCAGTGCCAAGACTTCATCCTTGCCGGGGGTCAAGATGTCGAGGTCCCGGACTTTGAGAACCGGCTCGTCTGCGATGTTTTGTGCCGTGGCAACATTTGGGGCCAAGCGCTCAGCTTGCTCAAGGCCATTCAGGAATTCGGAAATACGGGCCAAAGTGAAATGTAGGCCGATAAGCCTTTCAGGCAACCTGCAAACTGCAGACATGTTGTTGAAGGCCAGCGTGGTTCCACGATCAAAGGCCCACATACCATATAGCTCCGCAGGAGATATGGCACCCTGGCTGACTGCTGAGGACTTCTTCATGGTGTAGTACATGGACAAGACTCGCATGAAAGACAATGGCAGCAAGCTTCCATTCGTGAGGAAGTCGGTCGCGGCCTGGTAAAGAATATCTTCGTTGTCCAGTGCCTGCTGTGTCTTGATTACATCGTCAAAGCGCTGCTCGATGATTCCTCAAGTTTGGAAGGCAAGTTCAGTTCTGGGATCTGAGAGTTTGAGCAAAAAGGGCAACCCTTGGCAGCTCAGGATCGCTGTTCTGCCCGGCCGCCCCCGGAGAAAGCAATGGGCTCCAAGTTTTGGCGGAAACGGGCATGAACCGTCTTGAACTTGGCCTCCTGATTTCATAATAAAACACAGCAAAGCCTTTTCAACATGCTTTTTCTTAGGGCCCCACAGGGTAGTTTACAAATCTGGTCTGCTGGGCAGTTCTTCGTCCTTGTCCGCTAGCCCACCCATGTGGACGGCATAGTTTGGCATCACGTAGCGGGAAATCAGGCCGTGAAGTGGCATGTTCAGCAAATACAGGACGAAGACTCTCCAACCTGCGCCGCCGGTTCGATCAAAGCAATCAGCTCAGAGTGGATGGTGTCAACAAGAAAACCCAAAGCCAACACCTCCAGTGAACAGCGATAGCGCTGCGCCATAAAATGCGAGCACGCAAGGCTTCAGGGAAGACCTGGTTTGTAGTCGCACGGCTGCAAGCGTTCAAAGTAGTGCCCATGCAGCATGATGGTGGATTCAGTAGTGATTGTGTGCCACTGGATCTGAGAATGATGCTGAGTGGTGATCGCCTAGTGACTAGCGATGTGTTGTACGGACTGATGTAGCCAATGTATCAATGTAGAACACAAAGCCGACAAGGAGAATAGTGATGTTGCTGAGGAAATGGTGGAGGATGAGGAGGAGGGGGAGAAAGAGGGGAAGTGGAACAACAAGAGCAACCACAAGATTCCCAAAACAAACAAACTAACTAACTAACAAGCAAGCAAACAAACAACCAAGCCACCAAACAACGACAACAACAGCAGCAGCAACAGCAACAGCAACAGCAACAGCAACAGCAACAGCAACAGCAACAGCAACAGCAACAGCAACAGCAACAGCCCGCAACAAGCAACACGCAACAGCCAGCAACACACAACAAACAAGAAGCAAAACACAACACACAAAAAACAAAACACAAGAAGCAAGAAGCAACAACAACAACAACCACGACCACGACCACGACCACGACCGCAGCAGCAGCAGCAGCAGCAGCAGCACCACCACCACCACCACCACCAGCAGCACCAGCAGCACCAGCAGCACCAGCAGCAACAGCAACAACAAGAACCACCACAGCCACAGCCGCAACAATAACCACCACCACCACCACGACCAACAACAACAACAAGAAAAGAACAACAACAACAACAACCAACAACAACAACAACAACAACAACAACAACAACAACACCAACACCAACCCCAACACCAACACCAACACCAACACCAACACCACCAACAA